TTGTCACCTTAGAATGAGACGTTTTAATCTACAGAGGGAGCGGGTCCTCTTCTACAGAGTTAGCCATGTTTTGCTGCCATGTTTCTACAGTAGCCCAGAACGGGCAAACCAAACACTGGCTCTAGAGAGGGTTTCACGCCTTTCACGTTTTTCGTGGGTTCCACAGCCACCATGATTCCTACTGCACACTTGAGTGGTATTCAGTTCACCGCAAGATGTTACTAAATCTTACACACTGGTCCTTTAAAAGGGGACTCCAGTGATTTAGTACTGCAACTACACAAAGTTGGGGGACTTTCTAGAGACAGATTTTTAAATTAATGTTCAAAATTAGATGAACAGAGGCTGAGATATCCTTACTTTTAATCACCAGTATGGGTCAAGCGTCAGAAATACTGGATGCTGCATTTCCCATATTGACCTTTCCTGACTGGTAAATGCTCTCATCAAACATTATATAACTGTGTTCGTAGGCTGAATTGTACTCTCCATTTCCAGTAAAATCACCTTTATTTGTAAAATCTTTAGGATTACTCCTTCAAACCAGCAATTATAACACAAACATAAATTGCAGTGTGGACACATGCTCAGTATGGGTATATACACTTAAAATACCTTCACTGAGATGTTGTAGCCCATTGATACACATACAAACAGTTATATAGGTTCCAATATGTTTCAGAGAGGAAAGGTTGACCCCAAGTGATTGCTCAGGGACAACGTTACCCCAGATGCAAGGTAGTTCGTATATTATGGTGGAAAGAAAGGGGGAAATAAAAAAAAAAATCTGATTTGAGTTTTTCTTCAGCAGAAGGCTTCCAGTATGATCACTGTGCTTTATTAGTCTAAGAGTCTTCGGGGATCGTAGGGAAATCTATATATTTTGTGCTTTATGTATTCAGAAATGGCAATAGAATATGAATGAATGTCTTCATACCTGATTGACTGACATTGTTCACTTGCAGGAGTTTAATCTCTTAACAGAACCAAACCAAACTTTGCCAAACCAAATGGAAACGATCAGAATTGTGCTCTACTGACCTGCACAGCTGTGGCGGCCGGGGTTAACCAAGCAAAGGTCGTTCAGCTCAACTCAGGTTTACATGGCTAAGTATGAAAACAGATGACTTTGCCGGACTAAAAGTTTAGGTTCTCCTATTTGACCTACGGTGATAGGAAATCAAAATATTTTAATTTCTTCATCCTTTCAGTAAGGAAGATGAGATAACATAAATGTCCATGGCACTTCTTAGTTCGTGTGAACGTGATTCTGTGAATGGTTTTGTGACATGTTGACATGGCTGTTGTGGAGGGTATCGCTAGGAGGTGTGCATGTGTGTGTATGTGTGTGTACATTTACTGCGTGTGAGTCCAGAGATGTAGGTGACACCAATAACAGGGAGGCATGGCAACACAACACAACCCAACAAAATCTCAATGTACAGTATTTTTTAAATATTTTCCTATACTGTATCTTACAGTTTTGTGGAATCATGAGCATATGATGATAATCAACCGATCTGCTTCCCTCCTCTGACTACCTGTGACTCATAAACTAAAGAGAGTTTTACGCACATGTTTTTTCTGCAATAATTGCTGATGTTGCGCTTCTACAACTAAAAGGGACTTACCCCCCTACTGGTCACACTTTATTTAATGTCCTTCAAATGCATGCAGTTCTTCCACTCAGAGTGTACAGAGATGACCTGTAAAGATGACTGAGAGAAAGATAGAGAGAGATTATAATATGAAATCAAAGTAGTGAGTATTTGGATGCAAATACAAATCTGTATTCTTCAATGTGAATAGGATCATGTCTGGCATGCATTGTTAAATAAAAAAAATAAATAGATTGGTACTATGTGTCTCGCCTGCTTTCACTTTACCAGGACATTTAACGAGTCAGTGACAAAAAAGACTGATGAAAAGACAAGCAGGGAGGTGTTTTTCAGCACTCAAGCTTATGCAGAGAAAGAGCGAGAGAGAGAAAAAGCCTTATCATGTTACTTATAGCCTATGTACCTTTTTCACAGCAGCCGTGGGTAAACACAGGTGTTACTAACACCTAAGGTTCCATTCAGGTCAAACAGAGTTGAGGTGCTGTTATTGTGAAAGTCGGCTCACTGATAGGTTCTGCTATACCTGTGTTTGACCTGTTTAGTGTCAAAATGGCTGCTGTGAAAAGGTCTTTTGGACTTAACATCAGGAACATCTGCAGTTCTTTGACCCCCTTTATGTGAGCTACCAACTGGGGTCAAGAGCTGTTAACCTCAACTGTTGTAAAACTCATGAAACATCAGAAGCACACGGTGTGTAAACCATCAAGTAATGAGGCACATAACACAAGTTGCAGGATATCAGTCTCACCCCCGGCTTCCCCTGCCTCCCCCTGCCTGCTTCT